TTAGAAAGTTACTAAGGGAGCTATGGTTGTTGCTCGAGAAAATAAATTTGGAACTTTTTACATTACTCTCAATTGTAAAGACATGGCTACAGTTGCTGATTCAGCTATTAGTTCTGATTTGTAGCATTGTAGATTGGGATACATGAGTGAGAATTGAATGAAAGTGCTTCAATCTAAAAGAAAACTATTGGAAGATTGTATTTTCTACAAAAAAAAAAAAAAAAAAATGGTTAGTTTTCTAAAATCGGTAGGTAGCCAAAAGCTACAAATTGGAGTTGATTTATACGGGTGTATGGAAGTCTTCAACTGTTACTTTCCTCGGAGGTTCCAATTATTATTCGACATTTATTGATGCCTTAAGCAGGAAGGTATGAGTCTATTTTCTAAAGAATAAATCTAATGTTTTTGGTGCCTTCAAAAGATGGAAAGTGATGGTTGAAAACGAGATAGATTTGAAGGTGAATTGTTTGCCGTCAGATAATGAGAGGGAGTATGTAAATGATGATTTCAAAAAGTTTATATATATAATGGAATCAAGATAAAGAAGACCATTCCAAGAACATATTAACAAAATGGTGTGATTGAGAGGATGCACATGACTTTAAATGAGCATGCTAGAAGTATAAGATTACATGCTGGGGTACCAAAGATGTTCTGGGCTGAGACTATCAGTACTGCAACTTATGTAATCAACAGAGGTCTTTCCCATACCACTTTACTGTAGAATAGGTTTGGAGCGGTAAAGACGTAAAACTTTCACACTTGAAAGTGGTTCACACATTAACATTGATTCTACTGCAAGAAGCAAATTTGATGATAAATCAAAAAGGTATTTCTATACTAGGTACGGTGATAACGAGTTTGGGTATCATTTTTGGGTTAATCAAACTCGAAAGATTATCAGGAGCAAAGATGTGATCTTCAATGAAAGTGTCTTGTACAAAGACATGTTAAGAACATACCCCAAAGACTCAAGTCCTGAAGTTAAGAAATCTGAGGTGATCTCATTTAAGATCTTTTAATGATTAACTTAGAGAATGATGATGGTGAAAATCGAGAAAATATAGCTCTAAAAGTACATCAAAACACCCCTCTGATTGAACCAAGATGATTAAGCAAAATTAGTAGGCCTCTACAAAGATATTCTCACCATTGCATTATATTTCCATTGAGTGATTAATATGAACAATAAAGTTATAATGAAGCTATATAGGTTGATGAATCAATTGACTGGGAGTTCGCCATGAGGGATGAGATGGACAAATTATTATCCAATCAACATGGCAATTGATAGAGTTACCAAAAGATAGAATAAATGGGTTTACCGGTTAAAAGAATAATGCGATGGAAGCATACAATATAAATTAAGACTCATCACTTGAAATTGTGAAAAGAAGAGTATGTGAATGAGGTGTTAAGTACGTTCAATATTGATAATCCAAAATCAGTTAATACTCCTTTGACTAATCACTTCAGGTTATCAAATGAGCAGTAACCCTCTACAGAGCAAAAGTGAGCTAAATAGCCAAGGTTTATTAAGAATCCATTATTGGAAATGTCATGTATGCTACGGTGTGTATAAGATCGGATATAGCATGTGTGATAAGACCTGTGAGTAGATATATGAACAATCCATGCAAACAACATTAGGAGGCAGTAAAGTAGATTTCCAGATACTTGAGAGGTATTTTAGATTTAGCCTTATGTTTGAGAAAATTAGGTCTTTGATTATAGAGCTCTGTAAACGCTAACATGATAGGAGATATTGATGGCAGGAAGAGTGCTACTGGATATGTATACACTTTGGGTTGGTACAACAGTTGGTGTTTAAGTTGCAGAAGATAGTAGCTCTTTCCACTACTAAGGCTGAGTATATTGATATAACTGAAGCTAGCAATGACATGATATGGTTGTATACCTTTTTGGAAGAATTGAATCACAAGTATGGGAAGATTGTATTGTATTGTGACAGTTAGACCGTTATTCACTTTTCAAAAAATCGTGTTTATCATGCAAAGACAAAGCATATATAGGTACATTATCATATCATTAGATCGACTTTGTGGGATGAAATCATGAAACTTGTGAAGATTCAGAGAAGCTAAAATCTAGCTAACATGTTGAAGAAGATTGCGCCGATCAAGAAACTGAAGTAGCATACAACTTCAGTTAGACTTATCTTTTGATGAATGAGGAGTTGCTGCTATTACAAAGGAATCATTGATGGTGAATTAGCTTTCAAGTGGGAGATTGTTAAGTTGTGAAACCTAATTATTGTCAATCTTAATTATAGCTAATTCACATAGCTAGTTGCGGATCAACCTTTGTGGTGAGGTTGCTATGGATGTCTCACCTCCATGGGGGTGCTGGGGTGGATTCTTCGAATCAAAATTCTAATTCAAAGACTGTTTATGAATTTGTATTCTAGTAAATTCTATAAAGAAATTTGAATCTTTGTGTAATTTGATTTTATCTAATTTATCTTATAAATAGTCCTTTTTAGGCTTTATTATTATCATAAAAAAAAGAGAGAAAGGCAAGAGAAATATGTGTGATTTTTTCTTATAAACTATTTTTCATTATAATGCATTACCTCAGTGACAGGAGATGACGTAATTTCACACTAAAGCAAACTTCTATAAATCATGCCCGTTCTTTAGTTTTTATTTTTCTCTCATTGTATTGATTGTTCTTGGTAAAATGGAATTGGACTTTATAATTCTCAACAACATGTTCAATGTAAGGTGATATTAAATGATTTATTTAATTGTGATGTGCTTTTTATTTAGGCCCCGTTTGATCCACATTATTTGAAAAAAATTCATTTTTAAATAGTAATTAGACATTATTTCAATCACACATTTTTCAATAAAATAATATTACACGTAAATCTAAAACTTTTCCTTATTTTTTAAACACACATTTTTCATCAATACACTATTCAAAAAATGCACTTTTCCCAAAATAATGTGGCTCAATCAAGGGCTTAATGTCACATTAGAGCCATCTAAACTAATGTTTTAATATCAGTAGTGATAAATAACATTATTCAATTGACAATATTTATTCATGACAGCAATTTGAATATCTCTAATTAATTTGACAACGTTCAAGTATAGTAAAAGCTCATTAAAATTAATAAATACTTGATTAATCACATAAACCACAGAGTATCTTGACCTTCTATCAAAATTAATGACTTTCTTAATACATATTTCTAAGAAATATTTATGTTTGATACAGATTTTTCTCAAAATAGATTTTGTGAAAAAAAAAATTATTAGAAAATAGAGAAAGATTATAAATCCATGTATAAAACTATTTTTTGATGAAACAATGTATAATTAGAAATAATTTTTAAAAAAATAATTAACAAATTTTTATCAAATATGAACAAGAGTAATGATATTTAGCAGAACTAATGTTACAATACTGTCTATGTGGTACTAAGTGTCATTAAATTAAAAAATTACAATTAAATAAATTACATAATTTCATTTTTAATTGAACATAACATATAATGTCATATAAATTGATGCTCTAAAACTAATCGAGTTAGATAATATTATTCTATGCACAATATTTTTACATCATTGTTTACTAATAAGACCGCAACTCCAAGGGCAAGGAAAAAATGAAAAATCTAGAACATTCTAGTTACCATTAAAACTAGTTTTAAGGTTGTCAAATACTATGTTAGCCTCGTTCAATTTCCATTATTATAAGAATGAGAATGAAAAATATAGTCATTACGAGATCCACACAAGAAAAATGAAGTCAAATAAGGTGGCTTGATGTGATGGAGAACGAATATATTTTTTATTTTTAGGGATAAAGAATGTGAAGCAAACAGGGCTTAAGGTCTAAAGTCACGCTACGTGGCAGAAAGATACCGCAAGACTATCTAGTCATTCAATCGTGGGGTCAGAAACAGTTTGGTAAATTTGGGGGAAGCATAAGGGCAATTTAGTCAAGAAAAAATAGTGGTCCCCACGTTGCATTTGCATTATGTCAGAACTTTGAGTATCTCAAATTGGGCACAGAATCAATTACAGGCTGTATCCGGCTGTATTCCAACCCACACGTACTTAGGTTAGCAAACTAAATGCAGCGTCCACCCTACGCACCAAACGAAATTTTTCAAAATTTCTACATTATAATTGAAAATTGTGTCATTAGTCCTCATTTTATGGATCATAATACAATTTGGTCCTCAACCCATATAAGTTTGGGTAGAAACACACTTAAACCTTCTACTTTTGTAGCATAGTTGGTCCCTACTATATATTCAATTATTAACCATATATATGCAATGAATGCGATTAATGTTTTGTATAAATAAAAATGAAATTTTATCATCGTGCTCTTTAATCAATACTTGTGCCTATACGCCAACTGCAAACTCTTGTGTTCGATCTATCCCTAAATTGGTCTATGTTTCTCTTAGCTTGCATCACGTTAAATGCTCCAAGTCTCCAATTGGCTTTTTTTATTTTCTATTTACTTTCTTATTGTTTATATAAATCCAATTTTTTAATAATAAAGTTAAGAGTGATGCAATTATATCATTAATGGTGTTGAATATAAGTTTAGGTGATAATTAAGTAACATTAATTACATATTAATAAGTTGATGACCAATGGTTCAATTCTCAAAATGTTATAAGAGAGAGATTTTTAGAGGCTTTTGCATTGAACAAAACCTCAAAACCTGAAAAGATAGGGTCCCATTCTCCTGAATCCAGATAATAATAAGATAAGAATTGCATTTTTATTTTTATTTTTCTTTTCAGAGTTCAAAAAAATTTGTACTGAGTGGGAGTATCGTTGAAGAAGGAGTGGTAGGGGAGTACTGCGGACCATGTTCATGTGTTTCTTTTCGCACGCATTCCTATGGAGTCTTCTTCTTCGTCTCGCAATTCTTCTTTACACTGACACTGCCAGCGCATTTTAGCTGATGTCTTACTGGCATACGCCTTCCTTGTTTCCTTAATTAAACNCAATTCTTCTTTACACTGACACTGCCAGCGCATTTTAGCTGATGTCTTACTGGCATACGCCTTCCTTGTTTCCTTAATTAAACCCAGCAAAATCCTTTAAAGTCAAGTCTTATTCCTGTTAAATACATTGTTTTCTCAACTGGGTTTTTAGGGCTTTTGTTTATATATTTGATTTTGGGAGAAAAAAGTGATGGATCCGTGTCCTTTTGTACGGTTAAGTGTAGGGAATTTGGCGTTGAAGATTCCGGTGGCTTCGAAGCCGGAGAGGTCGGTGGTGCACCCTTCGTCGTCGCCGTGTTTCTGTAAAATTAAGCTTAAGAGTTTCTCGTTACAAACGGCGGTGGTTCCGTGCATTGCAACGGAGAACACTCAGTTCCCTGACGGAAGCCCACAAGCCCTCGCCGCCAGTTTTCACCTTAGCAAGTCTGATCTTGATCGGCTCACGGGAAAGTCCTTGCTGTTTGCCACCTCAAAGAAACCTGAACTCAAAATCTCGATCTACACCGGCCGCCGCGGCTCCACCTGTGGTGTGAACTCCGGTCGACTTCTGGGCAAAATCTCCGTGCCGTTGGATCTTGCAGGAACGGAGTCTCGGGCTGTACTCTTCCACAACGGATGGATTAATGTGGGTAAAGTGAAAAGTTCTTCGATTGCTCAGTTTCACTTGAATGTGAAGTCGGAGCCAGATCCGAGATTCGTGTTCCAGTTCGATAGGGATCCCGAATGCAGCCCGCAAGTTTTTCAAATTCAAGGAAGTATTCGCCAGCCAGTTTTTACTTGCAAATTCAGTTTTCGTTCAACTGGCGAGCGCAACCAAAGATGCAGGTACACACACACACACACAATTTTTTTTTCTAAATTTTCTTTAATTATTTGATTATATGTTGTTAATCCAATTTGCCGGTCAAAATTTTGATTCTGTTCTTGCTGGAAATGGGTCTAATTAGCGCTCAAATGAATCTCTGGTACTTTACTTTCTGAATTGAAAACTGAAAACTGAAAGGAGCTTCTTGTGTTCATAATTAGTAACTGTTTCTACAGTTGGTTATTGAAGGCTTCTGTCTCACTCTCACTTCAAGTTAAAGCAAAATCATATACTTTAATACCAAATCTACTTTAATGTACTTGATTAAGGTTTATTTATGTACTAATTTGCTTTGCAAGGGAATCTTGATTGTGAATGAAGTATTCGGCCTTTATCATACTCTGAATCTTGAGTGAATTTTACTTGTAGAATTTGTTAATTAAGAAAATTGATGATTTACAGATCATTACCATCTGAGCTAAGTGGAGCGAGAGGTTGGTTAAGTTCATTTGGAAGTGGGAGAGAGAGGCCCGGAAAAGAAAGAAAAGGATGGTCCATCACAGTCCATGACCTCTCCGGTTCACCGGTTGCCACTGCATCCATGGTTACCCCATTTGTTGCATCTCCCGGTTCAGACCGAGTGAGCCGGTCTAATCCTGGTTCATGGCTAATTCTTCGTCTAGGTGACGGTACTTGGAAACCCTGGGGACGTCTGGAAGCTTGGCGTGAACGTGGCTCAACAGATGGACTTGGTTATAGATTTGAATTGATCCCTGACTCAGCCCCAGCTGGTACTGGGATTGTCTTGGCAGAGTCGACACTCAGCTGCAGCAAAGGTGGAAAGTTTGTCATCGACCTGAATAACCGTAACCTCAATAATGGCAATGGGAGGTCAACACCGAGCAGTGCCACATCTCCCGTGTGCAGTCCACGGGGCAGCGGAGATTATGGGTATGGACTCTGGCCCTACTGTATGTACAGAGGATTCGTGATGTCTGCAAGTGTAGAAGGTGAAGGGGCCAGCGGAAAATGCAGTAGCAAACCCACGGTGGAGATAAGCGTGCAGCACGTAAACTGTACGGAGGATGCAGCAGCTTTTGTGGCATTGTCGGCCGCCATTGATCTCAGCATGGATGCTTGCAGGCTTTTCTCCCACAAGCTCCGGAAAGAATTGTGCCCTGCTCAGGATTTACTCAAGTAATGCAAGAATTTGACTTTTTTTGTCATTTACTTTTTGTTTCATTGAGTAAAAAATTTGTGGGTGATGATGGATTTTAGAGTTTAGCTAATTTTAGTGGTTTACTTGCTAACGAAGAATGAATTGGGGGAGCTGTGTATAGTGGGTAGTACAGGGCACGCTTTGTTTTTAAGTAGGTGTGTGGCTGGCTAGCTTTTATAACTTTTACGTTGTTCTTTGTTGAGACTTGAGCGTTCTTATTTTGCATTTGGCAAAATCCTGACAAAGTCTATGTAGTTTTGAAATGTAAAAATGCTCAAATCTTAAATTAAGAGGTAGTAGTGAACTCTACATTTTGCCTACGATAGAGTACAGACACAACTTTGCCCCCCGAGCATAACCAAGTAGTGCAAATGACAGGAGTGAGATAGTCTCAACCTTGTTGGCAGTCGTAGTGTGAAGGTTCGATTCATGAGATCTCGAATTGGACTATTTGTAGGCACCAGTGCTTAAGCAAGTTCTTGTTTTCTGGTCTGCTGGGGNAAGGTTCGATTCATGAGATCTCGAATTGGACTATTTGTAGGCACCAGTGCTTAAGCAAGTTCTTGTTTTCTGGTCTGCTGGGGTACATTTCGTGATTTACCTTCCTCACGATGCTCTAGGGACGGGACGGCGGGGTCATCAAAGTTGGGATTCACTCTTTTTTCAGAGTACAGACACACTGTTCCGACTCAGTAGTTGCTCAAAGGAAACTACACACATACTAACATCATCTCCAATTGTGTGTGATTTAGATTTTCAAAGTGGTCGAAAATCTTTTACAATGTAGAGTATGCATTTTTTGGTAGAAAATTCACCAATAAATTTATATGACATTTCACAGGTGCTTAACATAAGACGAACATCGATACTCATTAAATCATTCATATATGGGGGGCGGGGGGGGGGGGGGGGGCTCATAAGGGACAAAAAGTTACCAAATCAGTTGTATTCATTTTTATTTTTTTTAATCTTTTTATTGGAGTAGAATTTGGATTTAGACATATTGGGATGTAAATAAAAATGTAAAAATGATTCTGAAGATGTTAATTGATTTACATTCAATTTTACACTACCATTAGAAATATTCTAAGCAGCTGTAGACAAGAAAGAGAAAAAGGGCATTGCCTCTCGGTGTAAAGTGCGAATTCAAGATTCAATTCCTTTGTACGATTAGATAGTCGTACAATAGATAAATTTTGACAGTGAATTTGAAGAATAGTAGATGAAGACACTTTGGAGATAGTTGAATAAAATTTAAGAAAAATGAAATCATTTGGGTTTTGGGTGCTATTTGTACAAAGTCGGATAACAAACTTGGTTTACAAACTACGTATTTACAACATTTAAGCCAATTATTTTAAAAATAATTTTTGGAATCAATGAAAATTAATGATCTAAATTTCGTCAATACTTAGTTTGCAAGTAGAATAATTCTAGTAGTTTAGTATTTAATGTGGATGATAGCTGTAATGCTTTTCGAATTGGTGTGATTGCATTAGCTGTATCGTGCTCTGAGCTTGATTTTAATTTATTATTAATTAAATAAATTACTTAATTGTACTTTTCATTGAATTTAGCACTTAACGTCATCTAAACTAATGTTCTACGAGATAGCATTATTTTTAAGGGGTGTTTGATAGACATTTTTTAATGTAAAAATACATTTTAGAATAGTAAATTAATGTGAAATGTGCGGTTGAAAAATAAGGAAAAGTTTTTTTTATTTACATGTAATATTATTTTAATAAAGAATGTGTGGTTAAAAAGAAGAGAGAAAAATACATTTTGAAAAAAATGACTACCAAACGGGTTATTCTTTTTAAACTTAGTTGGTAAGATTTGGCGTGAAAATCCGATATATGCTCGCACCAGGTAGAGACACTTTAATAATTAAGATATGATTTAATCTAAACAATGTTTGAAAATCCACCTAGAGTTATAGATATTTATACGAACATGCCATTTCTTTTCAAAAATTATAAAAATCATTTTTTAATAATACAAGTGAAAATAAAAACAATTATTTTTTATTCATAATATGTTTGGAAATGTTATTTATTAATATGAATTATAATTTTCATTTTTTTTTCCTTTTTTCACTATATTCTATTTTAATACAAGCAACAACATTGTACTTGTTTGGGTTCCATTTTAATGAAAATTTGGAGGAAAATAAATTTTGAGATAGTAATTTTTTGAAAAATGTGTAGTTCAAAATGAATTTTGGAAAAATTGGGGCAAAACGTAGGCGAAATATTGTCATAATCCTTTTAGTAATATTAAATGAAATTAAATATTAGATTTGTCTTTAAAAATTATATATATTTCCAAAATACGTTGATTGTAATGTTATTTAACAATAACATAATATTTTCACCAATATATATTTTTTAATTAAAAAAACTCCCACCTAAATAAAAAAATTGAATTTTTTCCAAAAAATTAAAATATAATTAATATCATTATAAAACAATTTTTAAACATTGTGAAGCAAAAAGAGGAAATTAACTAAATTGTGTTGAATCCAAATAATAGTGCCTCAGATTCTTGGCCCCTTAAAGCTATTGGGCCGGGTTTAATGAAATGGTCTTGATCCAATTACTAAAAGAAGCGTGTTCTCTTGAAATGCGATTTCTGCCTTCTTTGAAGATATGATCTGACCATACATCTGGCCATCTCCTCATCATTGATCAATGACTTTTGACTTATCTGTTTAAAACGTTTTGGACACCTCATTTTCTCTTTGAGAGAGATCTATTTTGAGTGTATTCTAGGGTTTCTCTTTTTCTCTCAAACCACCAATATTTTCTGAGTGAAAATTACTTCTGTAAATCTGAGTGATTTTGATACTACACTTGATGTATAATTGTGATATTGCTTAGTGCGAGTTAGTGGTGGTGTTGTGATAGTTGTGTGTGAGGCGAGATCAAAACAGTGAAGAAACTTTATATTTTTTGGTACATTTGTAACGTTCTTGGTTCTTTTTCTAGTGAATTTAGAGCTAAATCTACTTAGTAGATGCTCAACGTGGTTAGTAAGCCGTAAGGCTGAACATTCAGGCCTTTGTGGCGAAAAAATTCTTCGTGTTCAATTTCTATTTTTCTACAATTTTAATTTTTCAGTGAATCTTGTGATAATCGGTATTCATTTAACCTCTTGAGAACTTACAAGTGGTATCAGACCATCTTCTCTGGAGGATCTGGATACGTTTTTTTTAAAATCCTAAGTTTTTGTTTAAATTGTTTTTTATTTACAAATCTTTGAGGTTTGAAGTTTTTTTTTTTAAAAACATTATATTTCTTTGAAAATTTGATGGTAAAAATTTTTGTATTCTTTGAAATCTTGTATACTTTGTTGGGTTGATCTGCAAGATCTCTTGATATTCATTGAGTTCTTTTTCTGACTTGTTCTTAACTTTGTGTAATCTGTTGTTTGGGCTGAGTTCTCTGGTGAGTCAATTTTTTTTTAGACTCACTCCGAGTCTTTGGTGAGCTGAGTCAACACGTTCTAATTTCTTGACTCATTCCGAGTTCTTGGTGAGCTGAGTCAACACGTTCTGATTCTTACTGAGTTTCCACTGAGTCACTATCAACAGTCAGCTGTCTGTGCTTATACTAAATTCTTGCATTGTCTTCGGTATACTCTGTACCCTCTTTTTATTATTGTTGATTACTTGTGTCAATCTTTGAAACTGGTTATTAAGGTAAGTCACCCTCCAATGCTTTCCTTTGTTCAAGGTCTCATTTGAGGACCAGAGAATTTGAGGGAGTATTGGAACAAAGGTTAACCACTCCTTAAACCTTTTCAAGAATTGAGAATTGCACGTTTAATTACAATATTTGTGATTTTCTCACTATATTTATCATCACGTCCACTGCACATAAAATTGAGATTGATGTATGGAATGGAAATGGTGACTTTAGTTCATGGAGACAAAAATTGAGGGCTTTGTTGTTATAACAGAGATGTGCACATGCTATTAATAACATTTATTCTGCTGAAACTAGTGCATATTGAAGACAAGAATTAGATGATGTTGCCTGGAGTTCTATTTTCCTTCATCTGTCTGATGGTGTAATTAGAAAAGTTGGTGAAACTACCTCTGCACAAGCTTTGTAGGATAAACTGGAATCCCTTTACCTAACTAAATCTATTCCAACTAAATGCTATCTTCTAAGGCAGTTTTACAATTTTAGATTTGATACATCCTTAGGTCTAGAAGAAAACATTGGTAAATATGTTAAACTAGTCCAGGATTTAGAAAATTGTGATGAAAATCTCTCTAAAGATCAACAAGTTGTTGGCCTTCTAAACTCCTTAAGTGACAGATATAGGGAGATAGGAAATGCTGTGAAATATGGAGGGCAAGATCTTACAGTTGACATAATAATCTCTTCCCTAAGAAATAGGGAACTTGAATTGAAAGTTGAGTTAAAGGATTTCAAATATGGTGAAGGATTATACATAAAAGAAAAACAGAATCAAAATAAGAAGAATGCTATGTGTAACTTCAACTCCCATAAAAGAGGTTAATCCCAAAATCCAAAATTCAGAGATAAAAACAGAAACCAAGTAAAATCCAAATATCAAATTAGAAAATGCTACTATTGTGGTAAAACAGGACACCTGATCAAAGACTGTTTTAAGAAGTTATCGGATACAAAAGAAAAACAGAATTTTAATGGTTCTGCAACTGTTGTCTGCAAAGGAGAACCAGATATACAAGGGGTTGTCCTTGTTAATACCATCAATAGGAACCCAAATGAGTGGGTTTTAGATTCTGGGTGTACTTTTCACATGTGCCCCATTAAAGATTGATTTTTTTATTTTGTTAACCTGAATGGGGGGCAAGTGCAGATGGGAAATGATATGAGTTGTCAGATAAAAGGGTTAGGAAAGGTGGATCTCTTGATGGAAAATAATTTTGTACTCAAACTAGAAAGAGTGAGGTATGTACCTAAACTAAAAAGGAACCTAATTGCTCTGGGAAAGTTAGATGAAAACTATGACATAAGAATCCATAAAAGCTCTATCAAGCTGATATCTGATGATAGAGAAGTTGTCTCTGCTCCTAAGATCAATGGTATCTACACTCTGCAAGCTGAACCTCTGGTAGGTTACAGCTCTGCAGCTATTGATTTACAATGTGATAAGTCTTTGATCTGGCACCGGAGACTTGGACACATGTCTGATAAAGGATTA